CTGTCGGAGATCGTTCGCATTTTTACAATAGAAAATCAGCTCCCTATTTGAGAGAGGGAGCTATTCTGTTGTAAAAGCGCACGCGATTTCGACAGAGATTGATACATTTCACCCCTGGTATATGAGTTGTAGTCGTTTTGATTGTTGTACGTTTGTTGTTGAAATAAAAGAAATTTACACAGGAAACTGCATTCTTTTATATCCATACTTTAAAATGCATTGTTGTGACTAAATTTACTGTCATGGTTTTATCTCGTATCACGTATTTTCTCTCATATCATGCCTACATAGCCATATTTTATGGATTTCATTGCGAAATAAGGCTTAGTCATTGCGCGAAATGGACCAACTGTTTGAAAATGCACTTTTTAGCATGCGTAAGTTGGTAACTGATGATCATCTCTGCAATTACAACTTGTTTATCAATTCAGCTATGTAATGCGTTTAGAGGTGCGTCGGTGTAAGAGCCTAACTCCTAGAAGTTCAAAATCAAGCCCTTACTGCATTGCTCTTTCTGAAATTCTGCGTTCTAGATTCGTCATGAAAACTTTGTCCTTTTTGTTAGTTCAGAAATGTAGAGGTTTTTTTTGAAATGCTTATCACTTTTATAGAGTGTGTTTTGTCGAAGAGGTTGCGGTGAACTGAAAAAAATTGAAAAGTTTAAGGTGATCTAGCATTTCTTGTGAACATACAACGCGTTTAGAGTTTGAATTATCATCTTAGGCAGATTGTTAGAACGTCAGCAAAGAGCTGACGTGCCCCCCGCGACCATTGAACATTGGCACTTTTTCATTCGAGACTTATGTTATCTACTCTACCAAGTTCTTTGATAGCATATGAATTGATGAATTCCTACATTTACAACTTGGTTGGAAACCGCAAACTGTTTAAAATTTCACACTGTTTTTCATAGCAGTTCTTCAATTTCCACAAATGCTTAGTCTACTCTGTGCTGTTGCGAGCGGCAATGCTCCGCTCAGCAGCCTTTGCGCAAGCAATGGCGAATGTCTCCCGCTTTCTTTACTTGCATCACCCTGTCCACCTTAAAATTCTTTTTCACTTTGCTTTCATAATCCCATTCGACTGGTAATACATCTCATTTCCCTGCATCGTCATCAGTATCTTGTTTCTCTCACTATTGATTGGCACATGTAATATTATTT